GTGTGTACGTGTGTTTGTGTGTGCGTGTGTGTGTGCGCGTGTGTGTGATTGTGTGTGTGTGTGTGTGTGATTGTGTGTGATTGTGTGTGTGTGATTGTGCGTGTGTGTGTGTGTGTGTGTGCGTGATTGTGTGTGTGTGTGTGTGCGTGTGTGTGTGTGTGTGTGTGTGTGTGCGTGATTGTGTGTGTGTGATTGTGTGTGCGTGTGTGCGTGTGTGCGCGCTCCTCGACTCGGCGGCTCGGGTCTCCTTTCCCTGCCCTCCTCCGCGGCAGTCCCTGCTCGTCTGCCCGCTCCGGGTGCGCCCTGGTGCCCGGCGCGGCCCGCCGGCTTTGCGGTCGCGGATGCGTCCTTTTGGCGCTGCCGATCAACAAGTGCTAAGTCGGGCCTGTCCAATTCCTCTACAGGAGGAGTATTCAGAAGTAGTCCAAAACTCGTCTGGGGACTTTTTTTTGTTGGTTGTATTTTTGACCACTTGGGGGCATTTTTTGATTATTCAATCGCTTCGCTCACTCCGACGGCCCGTATTGCATGATCGCTACTGCTTCGGCGCGGGCTCGGGGCCATTTCGGCGCCGCCGGAAGGAGGAAGAAGAGGATGGGGAGGGGGAGGGGAGGAGGAGAAGAGGATGAGAAGGAACGGAGGAGGATGAAGATAGATATGAGGAGGAGGGGGAAGAGAAAAGGGCGGAGGAGGAAGCCTCTCGATGGCATCTTGCGGCGCTCTTGGGGCCAAACAGGGCCGTCGTCCAGATGCTTCTTTGGGAGGCCCTGGGGTCTGTTGAGAGGCCGTTCGGGGGTGCCTGGGAGACATTTTTGAAGCCTTGTAGGGCCTCTTTTGAGTCTCCTTGGAGCCTCCTGGGGTCTCTTGGGGGCCTCTTGGCGGCATCTTGGGCCATCTTGGGGGCCTCTCGGGGCCTCCTGGGGCCCTCTTGGGGCGGAAGGCTCGAGGTTTTGGTTCGTGGTCCCCATCTTGGGCCCCTCTTGGGGCCGTCTTGGGGCTCTCTTGGGCCGTCTTGGGCGTCTCTTGGGCCGTCTCGGGGCCCGTTTGGGCTCTCTGGGGGCCTTCTTGGGGGCCTCCTGACCCGTCTTCGTGCGCTCTTGGGGGCCTCTTGGGCCGTCTTGGAGCATCGGAAAGCCGAACATGCGACAAGGCCAAAATCCTTCCAAAACCATCATAAAATTTATGATTTTGGCCTCTCGGGGCGCTCTTGTGAGGTCTCTTGGAGGCCACTTGGAGCGTTTCGGCGGCTTCTTGGGCCGTCTTGGGATCATCTTCGGCGTCTTGGAGCGTCCTTTGGGCGTCTCGGGGGCCTCTTGGGCAGTCTTGGGGGCCTCTTGGGGCCCTCTTGGCGCGCTCTGGGGGGCCTGAGAGGTCGTACCCAGGCGGGAAACCATCTCTGAGTAGACCTTCCCGGGACCTTCCCGGGACCTTCCCGGGACCTTCCCGGGCTGCGGTCGGGGTATTTTTCGCCTGGGGACCCCAGGGGCCGCCCCGCGCGCCCGAACTAGAAGAATTGTGAACCAGTTACCGGAGATCTTAGCACGCCTCTGGCCCGTTGATGGGCCGGCGAATTTTTCATTTCTCGTGCAAAATCTGCCTGCAGGGGGACATGCCCGAGCTAGAACAAGTGTGTGTGTGTGTGTGTTCAGTATCGTTTAACCGACTCCCATCCCCATCCCCATCCACTTCGAGACCCCCACCCCTCGAAGCCCGAAGGGCACGGCCTGTATCCCCATCCGGGTGGGTAACATCGGCCATCGGGGAGGGCTCAGGCCACCTCCGCTGGGGATGGGGGTCGGATAAACGATGCTCATGTTGCTCCTCCTTGTGTGCGTACGTAGCCCGCCTAGCTTTTAGCGGAAGAGGTTCGCTCTCGCCCCGCAGATCAAAATGTGTGTGCCTTTTGTTCATTAAAACTGTGCGCGGCCCGCGTAGCTTCGACTGGAAGAGGTGCGCTCTCGACCCGCGAGTCAAAAAAGTGTGTGCTCCTCCGCTCTCCTGCCCAGCCTTCCGACCTTGTGTTTTGTTCTGATCTGCGGCAGCGCCCCTGGGCTTGTGAACCCTTTCCGTGGGGGCCACGAAGGTCGCACAGCGTTTTGGAAAAGGTAGCAGGATTGGAATCGAGATCGCGACAACGGAGGTTTGGGCACTCGACGGAATCCGCGGTTCGGTCGGTTCGGCTGCTTCGCTGTCGACTGCGTTTGGTGGGTTCGTTTTGGTCGGTTGATGTGTTGTTGCAGCGCTGATGCGCCTTTCTAGGCTGCTCTTGGTCGATTATGCTTCGGTCGGTTTCGGTTTGGCTGCCAGTTCGGTCGGTTTTAGGCTGTGCTGTCGCCGTGGTGCTCCAGGCCTGATCGCGGTGGTGGACGAGATCGACATCAACGAGGTGCTCCCCGCGCGGTGCCACCCAGAGATTACTAGAGGTCACATGTCTTGCGAAGCATCACGGAGATTTCACGGAAGTGTCTGGTGTCCCAGACAGGGAAACGCACGCGCAAAGAGTTCTTCCACGCTCCTTCTATTGTCACAATGACTGCATATATGAATTCTCCTCTCGTCTTTCCCCAGGCGCTGTCTTCTTTCGCCGTCTCCTATCAAGTGTTCTCTGCCACAGGATTGCCCAAAGGTGTTTAACTGTTTGGTCTTTCCAATATGGTGTTTCCAATCCCAGTGCCTGGATTGCAGTGTCGGCCACATTTGAATATCAATCCGCCTGCGTTCCGCCGCCGTGCCATTCCAGCATTCTCGGTGGCCGCTGCTATAGTCGCTGATGGTGATGCTGCTGCTGATGCTGATGATGATGACCCTGCGGATGGTATTGCTTAACCCGATGCCAATGATGACGGTGCTGACGATGAGGGTGAGGATGATGATGTGATGCTGATGATGACGATAATGATGATGATGATGATGATGATGATGATGATGATGATGATGATGATGATGATGATGATGATGATGATGATGATGATGATGATGATGATGATGATGATGATGATGATGATGATGATGATGATGATGATGATGATGATGATGATGATGATGATGATGATGATGATGATGATGATGATGATGATGATGACTGATGATGATGATGATGATGATGCTGCTGCTGGTGATGCTGGTGCTGGTGGTGTCGATGCTGATTCTGATGATGCTGATGATGATGAGGATGAGGATGCTGAGGATGACGATAATGACATTGAGGATGATTATGACCATGATGACGATGATGCCGATGCCGATGCCGATACCGATGCTGATGATGACAATGATAATGGCGAGGACGATCACGATGCCGATGATGATGGTGATGATGCTGCTGTTGCTGATGATGATGTTGGTGGTGGTGGTGGTGATGATGATGATGATGTGGATGCTGATGCGGTTGACGATGATGATGACGATGCTGACGATGATGCTGATGATGATGCTGACGATGATGATGCTGATGATGCTGCGGATGGTGATGGTGATGGTGATGGTGATCGTGATGGTAAAGGTGATCGTGATGATGACGATGATGCCGATGCTGGTGCTGCTGATGATTGTGATGACGATGCTGATGATGCTGATGATGATGCTGACGATTATGATGATGTCGATTATCATGATGACGGTGATGCTGATAATAATGATGATGCTGATGCTGCTGATGATGATGCTGAGGCGGATTGTGATGATGATGCTGTTGCTGCTGATGATGATGATGTTGTTGATGCTGATGATGCTGATGCTGATGCTGCTGATGATGAGGCAGAGGATGAGGATGAGGATGCTGCTGATGATGATGATAATTACGATGTTGATGATGATTATCATGCTGATGCTGATGCTGATGATGCTGATGACGATGCCGATGCTGCTGCTGCTGATGATGGTGGTGGTGGTGATGATGATGATGATGATGCTGATGAGGATGATGATGCTGATGATGAGGAGGAGAGTGAGGATCAGGATGATGATGATGATGCTGATGCTGCTGCTGATGACGATTACGATGATGATGGTGATGATGATTCTGATGATGCTGTCGATGTTGCTGCTGCTGATGATGATGACGATGATCATGCTGATTATGATTATGATGCTGATGATGATGCTGACGATGCTGATGATGTTGATGATGATGATGATGATGATGATGATTATGACGATGATGATGCTGATGATGATGCTGATGCTGCTGTTGCTGCTGCTGCTGCTGATGATGATGAGGATGCTGATGCTGCTGATGATGCTGCTGATGATGACGATGATGATGATGATGATGATGATGATGATGCTGATGATGATGATGATGATGATGATGATGATGATGATGATGATGATGATGATGATGCTAATTGTCAAGGGGTTCTCTTGAGCTGTCTTGAAGCCGCCTGGAGGCCTCTTTGGCTATCCTCAGACCCTTTTCGGCTGTATTAAGGCCGTCTTGGAGGCCTCTTGGGCCGCTGGAGCCCACGGAAGGTCGAAAAGGCGAGAATGCCGAACATCTTTCACAACCTCACTAAAATCAGCGAGTTTGGTTTCTGGGGGCCCTGGAGTCGCCTTGGGCCGTCTCGGAGGCCTCTTGGGTTTTCAGCCGTCGTGGAGCGCTCTCGGGGCGGCCTTGGTGGCCCGCCTTGGCCGTCTGGGAAGCCATGTTGGGCATTATGGACGCTTTGGAGAGCGCCAGGAACGTGTCTGGGCGACGACATAGCCTCGGGAAAAGGTGGGCTGAGCATGCCCCCGGGCGCGTGTAGAGGGGGGAGGGGCGGCGCTTAGAACACTGCAGGAACCCTACAAGAGGAGGCCCCCAGCCGGCCCAAGACAGCCCGAGATGGCGCCCAAACGGGTTGAGATGGCTCCCACATAACCCCAAGACGCCCAGACAGCCCACGACTTGCCATCGCAGGCCTAGACTGACTCGCAAAGTAGAGAAGCAATTCTTGTTTATCAGCACTTTGACCGTAACCGTACATCCCCAGATAGTCATCAAGCGTCTCGTCGACCCAGTTTAGTTTGCGCAAGAAATCCGAAACCGTGCTCCCAAGATCAGCCACCACAAACTTGTTTAGGTCGTCCGCATATTTAAGAAGGCTAAGGTCTACTGATAGTTGTTGCCAGCTCGATATTAAAACCTTGGCCGATCGGTCGTGTGTAAAAACGTGGTGTCCCCATGACGTTGTGGCCCGTCCGAAGGTCCCCAAGAAACCCTGCACCGTAAAAGGGTCCCCCATCACACCTCCACACCTCGGACGCACACAGAACGGGCCCTCGCACGATTCCAACTCGATAACCGCACTCCTGTATCTCTGTCTACACAAGTCGGCATCGTCAGGGGACGCGCACAATGATACTGTCGTATCCAGCTCCGTCCACAAGGAACTCGAAAAGGCGTTGCTAAGATCTTTTAGCGACATGCAGTGAGTGCAGCCCATGCGTCGTAATCGCCAACTCGTCACAAGTGCAGTGAATATGGCATCCTCCCTCCTTCCCTCTCGAACACAACCGTGGTCCTGTGCCGTCGGGCATGCGCGTAACTTGTTAGCAAAGAAAGCCTTGCCCACCGTTGGAAGGACGTGAACCACTCTCTTGCCCCGCGGCCCGCGCACCAGTGATTTATGCAGTCCTACTCCCCGTGACTTATTCCAGTAGAGTGGGATATCTCGATGCTCACGAATTTTGTACAAGCCCAGCTCCACTAAGAACCAAAACAATGGTGTCCGAGGCATATTACCCGTGTTGCCCACCCCCCTGCGTTGTCGTACCCTGTAATTTGGCCATAGTAACTGCTGCCACAATTCCAAAGGTGCTGTGCCAGCAGGCACGGCTCGTCGTTTCGGCGCTCGTCGCACGTATCGTCGGATCGCATTAAGGTCCTCCTTCGCCGCCTCCTTCGTCTCCTCTGACTCCGTGACTCCATAACCGCCCCCCATGTCCTCTCTGCTGCTCCTCCGCTCCTCCCACGCACACTCTTGTACCTGCATCCCTCCTTTGGTCCCGAGAGCGACCAAACCCCGAGCCATTCGGCCCGGCTTGGGAGCATGCCTCTGACCAGGCGTCCGTCCCTCTTCTTGGCACCGTATCTACGCATGGCCGCACGCCTGGCTAACCGCATACCCTCAGAGACATACCCACTCGTCCATCGCTCCCTCGCCTCCTGCAGTAAAGTAGCACGTCGTTCCCGCTTCTGTGACCGTCGAAACAGAAACAGCTCGTGGGATAATTGTTTGAGCTCAGCATCCAGGGTGGCCACTTCCTCCGTCGAAGCCCCCAACTTGTCTCCACGAAGCCCAGCCCGTCGGGCCAAGAGCGATCTCCCACGTGATGACGCGGAGGCGGAGTCAATACCGACCCCCCCCCTTTGGATCCGGCGCGAGTATGATGTGGACATGTTCTAAAATATTTTTGAACATGCGACGTAATACCAAAACGAACCTGCCCCGCCCGCACTATGGCCCCTTCTAGATGTTCGAAGATTTCATCCGCGGAGGCCTGATCCCGCATCCAAGATAAGTGGGTCGAACCCTCCAATTCCCGATATACCTGTTCCAAAAATAAGTCACGGTCCTTCCCTTCCCGCACCGCCTGCATCATAGCATCCTGATTCCACCGTTCTCCCCTGCCTGTCTGCAACGCCTCATGGTGAGCCCCGTGCTTGTCATAGCGCAGCACACACACACAATCGGCAGGTGGTCCTTGGGGGGGCAGCCCCCCAGAGCCTGTAACCTGGCACCCAGGCGCTCATGAGGGCGGCACAGAGATCTGACTGCAAAACCCCTGCGGCACAAACACATAGTCAATCCGAGAGCTCCCCGTCATCCCAAAGAAGGTTGGCTCAGGGCCCGTACCCCTGAATGTGTTCGCCGCACACATGAATTGTGTCTCCATCAGTTGACGTACCCTAGCCCCAGCTCCCGTGAGTAGCCGTTCCCTGCTCGGAGTCCCCACCACCGGAGTGTCTCGCGTAACCCACGCATGACCGTCATGCCATGTCCCAATGCCGTCATTTAGGTCGCTATACACCACAGGCATGCATCGCACTGGTAACTCCGAGAGCACTGCCGACAGCCACTTCGTAAGGATGTCAACTGTTTTGTAGTAGTGAGCCCGTTGGGCCCTCTTCTGGGGTTGGGGCGGGTAGTACACGACAATCGCACACACGTCCACGTTGCTGTATTTAATCCGTGCTCCCAGGGCCCGCCCTGTGGCCGTCGGCGGTGAAGGCCAAGTCTGCACAACACTATTTTGCTCCACCGTGGGTCCCAACCCGATAGCACACCCGCACGAGCTGTTGGCATGTTGGGCCGTCGACGTCGGCGCTTCCACCACCCACCTCCCCGCACTCCTCGTCGTCATAACAGGGTTCCCCGAATGAGTACAGTGTTGAGTTCCCCCTAGCAAAACCAAGTCGAAATTCCTCGTCTCCTGCATAATATCCTCCAATCTATCCCGTGTGGCATGGAGGGGATTAAAGCCGAAGATGCGGAGAAACGCCATGAGAGCAAGCATCACCCCCCGCCAGGCAAGGCGAGCGGAGGTCCTCCGCGATGGCACCCGTAAACGAAACCGTGCGGGTGTCTGGCGTGCCTCCTGGGGCGGTCCTGCCTCGGGCCTGGAGGCTGGAGGAGGAGGAGGAGGAGGAGGAGGAGGAGGAGGAGGAGGAGGAGTTTTAGGAGGAGGAGGAGGAGGAGGAAGAGGAGGAGGAGGGGGAGGAGGGGAGGAGGAGGAGGAGGAGGAGGAGGAGGAGGAGTAGGAGGAGGAGGAGGAGGAGGAGGAGGGAGAGGAGGAGGAGGAGGAGGAGGCGACACCCAGATCTCCGACGTTCTGATTTTTGCCACCGGCGGTTTTCGCCTCGATTCCAGGCTTTGGTGGCCGTTCTCGGGCCCCAGTGCCATCAGTCTAGACGCCCGAAATGGGTACGGAAAGAGTGGGTACGATGCCCAACAGCAGTTCCTGTTCGTGTTGAACAGGACTCGCTGTCCGCGCCGCCGCGGCCTGTGTCCATTTGAGACAGGAGGCCGCCCGCCCAACAGCGGCCGCTGCTGGTCTGGGACAACACTTGTTGTTGGGCATTGTACCCATTTTTCCCTAACAGCGAAGACTGATAGGTTTCTAGTAGGGTCAAAAGAGAGCATCATGACTCCCGAGGGGGGTCTGGGCGGGATCCGGACAGGGTGCCCCGGGAAACCCCGGGAAACCGGGGATCCGCGCCGGATATGGGCGAACTCAGTCGGGGGTGCCGTGGGTGCCCGCCAGATATGGGGGAACTCAGTCGGGGGTGCCGCGGGTCCACGCTTGATATGGGGGAACTCAGCTGACGGGTGCCACGGGTCCACGCCTGATATGGGGGAACTCAGCTGACGGGTGCCGCGGGTTCTTGCCTGATATGGGGGAAATCAGTCGGGGGGGCCGCGGGTGCACGCCTGATATGGGGGAAGTCCGTCGGGGGTGCCGCGGGTCCACGCCTGATGTGGGGGAACTCAAGTGAGGCTGAGGCTGAGGCTGCGGCTGAGGCTGAGGCAGGCTGAGGCAGACGCTGAGGCAGGCTGATGCATCCGAAAGCCCATGAGCAGTGAGGAGGAGAGATGCCTCCTGTCGAGCGCCACGGTGTGCTCAGAGGGAGGAAGAGGAGGAAGAGGAGGAGGAGGAGGAGGAGGAGGACGAGGAGGAGGAGGAGGAGGAGGACGAGGAGTGGTTCGAGGAGTGGTTCGAGGAGTGGTTCGAGGAAGGATACGCAAGGTTTTTCTCAGCGGTTCCGGCCTCTGGAGGCCCAGTTGTGGGGATCCAGGTCGTTTCAAGATTCGCCTTCGTGGCGTGTGGATTTTGGAGGCCCAGTTGCGGGGATCCAGGACGTTTTAGTATGTATACCTCTGTATGTACTTACATGTAGAATTTACCTAACAGCGAAGACTGATAGGTTTCTAGTAGGGTCAAAAGAGAGCATCATGACTCCCCAGGGGGGTCTGGGCAGATGCCGGACGATGCCGGACGGGTGCCGCGGGAATCCGGGGATCCGACTGCGACTGCCATTGCGAATGCGACTGCGACTGCGAGTGCATCAGAATTCTATAACAGGACTCCTACATGAATCTCAAGGGGGATGCTCCCAGATATGCTCCTACACATCGCTGTTAGGTTGCTTTGCCGGGATAATTTCTGTACCCATTTCGGGCGTCCAAATCCTTGGCTCGGGGGCGGCCAGGATGGGGTGTGATGGCTTCAGTGGGGGCCCATGCCAAAAGAAGCACCCTGCTTGCCTCCAGGGTGCCCTGGGTTTCTTGGGTTTCGATGGTTTTGCTGTGGAGAGCGTGACGTTCCCGCACCAAGAGTCGATGGGATTCCTGGGGTCTCAGGGTTGTGCTTCTTGTGGAAGGTTTCTTGTGGTCGGGCCCCCCCTACTGTACGGGGGGTGAATATCATGGCGGGTGCCACGATATCTCCGCAGAGTTCATGGCACCCCTTGTTATTTCAATACGTCCCCGGCCCCCCCTAGCGCACGTGCCGCCGGCCATGATTTGCACCCCTCCCTCTTGGACGCCCCCATCTTGGCCGCCCCCGACCCCGACGGGAAAGGTGCTCTCTGGCGTCGAGGATGCAGGTTCTCGAGCGATCCCGTCGATCCTCGACGGTTTTCTCGTCCTCCTGCTCCGCCTCCTCCCCCTCCCTCGTCGTCCTCCTCCTCGAGGCGCTCCTTGGCGTCGAGGCTGCAGGTTTCTCGAGGGATCCCGTCGATCCTCGACGGTTTTCTCCTCCTCGTCCTCCTGCTCCGCCTCCTCCTCCTCCTCCTCCTCCTCCTCCTCCTGCTCCTCCCTCGTCGTCCTCCTCCTCCTCCCCCCTCCCTCCTCGTCGTCGTCGTCGTCTTCTTCCCATTCCTCCTCCTCCTCCTCGTCCTGCCCCCTTTTCCTCGTCCTCCCCTAACATCGAGGGATATCGAAGCTCGAGGCTTTCGTCGAGCGGTTTCGTCGGCTTCGGAGGTTTTCAAGCCTCGGGGTGCCTTCCAACAGCTGCGCCTCGCCGAGGGCGTTCCGGGCTTGCCCAGCTTGTCTCGAGCGGCCGCTGGAGGGTCGAGTTATGTCAGGAGGGGAAAAAACACGCAGACACAATGAGTCGTCGATTCCCCAGAAAATATTGGAAAATATGGGAAGTGGGGGGGAAGACAAAAACCCAGAACATATGGGAAAATATGGGGAATCTTTTTATTTGTGTGTATATATTTGTGTGTCCTGGGGCCCCTTCATTATGGCCCAAACACCATATGAACCCTGACGTCCTGTCGGAGTGGGAAGATCACGACGGATGGTTGTTGCCCGTTTTCGGCTTCTGGGGCCGTCGCCAGGCCCCGCGGGGCGGAAGAAGGCCGGTCTCGTGGAAAGGGTCCAGACCTACGGGGTCCACGCTATGAGCAAAAGCTTTGCGGAGGATATCTGGGACGGGGTCCATGGAGCGCTCGCAGACCGGTCCAGCACAGGCCGGAGAGCGGGTGCAACGAGGCAACATATAGAAAGACAGGATTGGTGCCTGGTTTGTTTGGATTGGCTATCGTGAAGATGAGGTCACATGAAATCGCGGAGGTGCCGTCCTTGAGAGCACACAAGCCTGTCAGCAGCACACCTGGCAGCAGCACTACTGGTCACATATTCTCGAATGGTGTACTCCTGAGTTCATGGGTACCCCGAATGCATGGGCTCATGCCTCCGGATGCCGACAATAGGGGGGACAAGGGTAGAGCGAATTCAGGGCATATGTGATTGAGGCACGTAAGCACCTGCTTAGGGGAGATCCTCGGCATCTCAGAGAGTATCACGGTTTACATGCCCGCCGCCCGCCAGGCCGGGGAGATCGTGCGTATGACGGTGGCGGACCGCAGTGCCCTCACCATTCTCTTTTCGTTCGTTGCTTGTCTCAAGGCTGAGCGCCACCTGCGTTGAAATGTCAGCTCGCGCACGTACGTGCACCCAGACTCATGCACGCAGACTTGGGCATACGTCATATTTACGGACACAGACGCGCAGACACAAATTCAGACACAAACGCAGAGACAAGCACATACATATTGTCAGTGCACAGATGCACGTGCATGTGCTCTCACACACGCGTACTCCATACTGCCCGCGTAGCTCACAAAACCAAACTTCCAGTGCAATACTGCGAAGGCATAACGGCCGGTGCCGCCGACCCTGCAGACGGAGACGACGAGCAGGACAAGGACGTTCTGGAGCAGGAGGCGGAGGACGTCAGGGAGCAGGAGGGGGGAGGAGGAGGAGGAGGAGGAGGAGGAGGAGGAGGAGGAGGAGGAGGAGGAGGTCCGTAGCCATTTTGGCTCAAGGGGCCTTCTCCTGAACTTCCAACCTCGCTCGAGCGATTGTGGCGTGTTGGTTTCGGGGCCCTTGAGGCTCACTGGCCTGGGGTTCGCGACCCCACTGGTGTTTCGTGCGCGTGCGGGGCGCATGGCGGCCAAGCCCAATGGCTGGCAGTGCGGCTCGTGCGGCTACTACAACTTCGGTTTCAGAGCAAAGTGCAGGCAGGCAGGTTGTACGGGTCCCAATCCGCTCCTGTCTAATGGCGCTCCTTGGCATGCTCCTCAGCCTCGTGGGTTCTGGGCTTCTGGACCACCTCCTCAGGGGGGACCTCGTGGTGCTGGCAGTCAGGGAGGAGGTGGAGGAGGAAAGGCTAAAGGTAAGAAGCAAGCTCTCACCCCCGAGCAGCAGGCCCCGTGGCTCGAGATGTCCGAGCCTCAGTTCTTGGCAGCCAGTCAGGCGCCCGATCGGTCGTCGAAGGACAAACTCGTCGGGCTGCGTTGGCGTGCCAAGTTGGGGATCACCAACCTGGCTACGGTCAAGGAGCTCAAGTCTGCCCAGTCCGAGGTGGATCGAAAGGCTCAGCTCTTGTGTGATGCTCAGGGGGGTTTGGCAAAGAAAGAAAAGGCAGCCAAGGATGCCTTTGAGGCCCTCCACAAGCATCGCCTCACAATCAAACGCCTGGAGGAGGAGGTTAAAGCTGCTGTGGAGGAGGCTCGTTTTGCGGCGGCTGGAAGGGTCGGGCAGGGAGAGCCGACGCCCGCGGCCGCTGCACCTCCCCAGGGGGCTGCGGTGCTCGCGCAGCAGCTCGACGCGGCGCTGGGAGAGGTGCCGCACGGGGCGCTGGGGGCCATCGAGGGGCCGCTCAAGGCGCTGCTGGCGGCGCTGCGTCCCCCTGCGCCAGCAGCGGCTGCACCTACAGCCTCCCCCGCCGCCGCCCCCGCCGCAGGAGGAGGAGGAGCAGGAGCAGGTGCAGGGGCCTGGTCTCCCTGGTCTCCCTTGTGCCGAAGTGCTTGGGGCTCTTCCTGGTTCTGCTTCGGGAGTTCAGGCAGTGGACGATTCTGATATGGAAGGGGATGAAGATGATGACTTGGACGACGCCTGGGCCGATGATGCTGGGTCGCGGCCGTGGGCACACGTTGATGCAGGCGCCAAGCGTGCCATCAGCCAGCGCATTTGGGAAGAGATGGCGGAAGCATGTGGGGGTGATCCTGAACGCCTTGCTTCTCTGGCCGAGCTCAAGGCCACAGTCATTAAGAAACCCAAGTGCGGCGTTTAGCAGCTGGTCAGTCGTATCCGCCAACGTGAATGCATATTCGTCTTTGCAGCCACTCTTGGTCCATGATGAGTTTAAGGCTGCAGATGCTATCCTTGTCCAGGGAACTCACCTCTATGGCCACCGATGTACGGAGTCCGAAGCTGAGTTGGGCAAGCTTGACTGGTGTGCTCGCTCTTCTCCCGCTGATGATGTGGTCGAGGGTAATCATGGGCACGGAGGCCTCATCACCATGTGTCCTAGGATGCACGGCATTGCGAAGTTAGAGACCATGTCCACGGAGGTCCTGGTCCCTGGTAGAGTATCTATGATGTGTCACTCTGGCTTCGCCAAGCATGGGGTCCTCGTTGTGAACGTGTATCTCATCAGTGGTGAAGGCATGGGTGCTACAAATTTTCAGATTCTTATGAAGTTGGCTGGGCGCCTTCGTGGAGTGAATATGCCGTACATCATTGGATGTGATTTCAACTGCACACCGGATGAAGTGCGCGAGTCTTGCATATTGCAGTACTTCGAGGCTGACATGTTTTATCCTACCGTGGCTACCTTCTAGTGGTCGAACGATTGATTTCTTCGTCGTGTCGAATCAGCTGGTGGTTGACAAGGTCGAGGCTTTGGTGGACATCCAGATAAGTACGCACTCGCACGTGCCTGTTCGGTTGCAGATCTCGAGTGATGCAGTGCGGCCGCGTGTGTGTATTGTTCCTGTGCCTCGTGCTTTTCCCGTCGATCGTCCCATCGGTTGTCAGCGCGGTGAGCATGATAGTGCTTGGACGGACGTCGGTCAGAAGGTTGAAGCTCAGTTGGTGGATCGCAATCAGAAAGGCTTCCCTACGGGCTCTTCGACCCGCCCTGAGCTGTCGCATGCTTGGAATTGCTTTCTTCGCCAAGCAGAGTTCGAGCTGTATGATGTATATGATGTTGTAGGAGAAGATGCGCATACATACCAGTGTCGTGATCAGCCGCTCTGGCCCAAGTGGATCTCCGTGCTGGCGCCGAAGGTTCCCAGGTTCCCGAAGGCGTCTCCTGAAGCTCTGTGGCTGCGCGCGGTCTCGGCTAGCCTGCACTTTGCGTCTTGCACTGCTCAGCCGCTCACTCGCGTCACCACTTTGCGTGCTCTTGCTCGTAAGCAGGCGACGGCGCCTGCTAGTGTGCAGACAGGTGCAGGACCTGCAGGTGAATGGTGGGGATTTTTCCAGATCTTCGGAGCCGAGTTCTGGGATTGCGAGATCCTCGGGGTCCTGGCGAACATTGCCAAGAAGGTGGCCCTCAAGATGGCCAAAAATGATGAAAACCAACGGCAAGCAAAGTTTCGAGCCTGGGTTGATGAGCAAGCTGTCGGAGGGGCTGGAGGGCTCCACAGAATCACGAAGCTCCCAGAGGGATTTCAGGACACCAGCACCGAGTCGCTTTTTTCGTCCTCGTGATCGGCAGCATCAGGTGGACAAGATACAGGAGGAGTGGAGCAGGTGATGGAGGGTCGGAGAGTGGCACAAGGGCCTCATTTGGCCCGAGGATCTTGGGGTTCGCCCAGAGCGCCCATGTGTCGAACATCTTCGACAAGTTTTGAAAACCTTCCCCAAGCACACTGGCATGAGTTTCTGCATGATTCGGCCGCAGCAGTTGTCCATGCTGTGCGATCCTGCTCTGGAAGTGTTTATCGACATCCTGATGGCCGTCGAGGCGTCGGCCGAGTGGCCGAAGTTTGCCTCGAAGATCGCCTTTTTGTCCAAGCGCCTGGGCGGCGTGCGCCCCATAGCGCTAATTGACGTGTTGGCTCGGGTTCAGGCGCGCCTCCGCCGCCCGATAGCTCGAGAGTGGGAGTCCCGCAATGATCGATCGTATTTCTGGGCCTCCAAGGGGAGATCGTGCGATCGAGCCGTCTGGCAGCAGTCGGCCTGGTCTGAGTATGTGTCCACTAAGGCTAAAGGTTCCACTATGGACATTTGGGTCTCTGGTATGGTTCTCTTGGATCTGATGAAAGCCTTTGAGCAAGTGGAACATCATTGGCTTTTGGGGGCTGCAGTGGCTACTGGATTCCCTCTCTGGCAGCCCAAGTTGAATGTTGAGTTATATCGGGCTGAGCGTTTTTTTTGGTCTGGGCCAAGTCGTCTCGTCGCCGATGGTGGTTAAGCAGACCATTCTACCAGGTGGCGGCTGGGCCACTTGCATGCTCAAGTTGATTTAGATTCGGCCGCTTGACTCCATGTGCAGAATGCATCGAACCGTCGTCCCCACCATTGCCGTTGACGATTTGCTATTGCACAGGATTGGCACGGAATCTAGAGTTACGCGTGAGCTGGTCCAGGCGTCGTTAGACTTGCAGGAGGCTCTCGCTGCAGTGGACTTACGTGTACATGTTGACAAGTCACGTGTGTTGTGCAATGAGCAGTGTGTGCGCGATGAGGTTGCACGACGTCTGCAGGCGAAAATGGGCACGAAAGCTACACTGCATGAGCGAAACCTTGTCATTGACTTCTCTTGTGGGCGGCGCGTCGGGCATGCAGTACGCAAGTCTCGGATTCTGGGTGCTCGTCAGCGCCTGAGGCGGATTGGCCTCATTCGCACTGGGCAGCAGAAACGTTTTGGAGTTCGAAAGGTTGCTCGTTCGGGTTTGGAGGCGAGTATGTCGTATGGGATGAATGTCACGGGATGCTCGACTTCGAACCTTGAGACTATGCGTAGCACTGCGTTTGCGTGTCTCACTGGGGCTACCGCTGGGAAGTCCCGCACTTTAGCCTTGATGTGTGGGAAGGATGCTGACCCGATCCTTCGAGCTACTCTGATGCCTGTGCTCGCGCTCTGCCGAGCTATATGGGAGGGGTGGGTGCCGAGGCATGTGGTGCGGGATGGGCTGGAAGGAAGTTCGTCGGTCTCGCTCTGGACCCAAGTGTCTGGTCCGTTTAGTGCGTGTCGGCTGTCGCTGGCTCGTGTCGGCTGGTCGATTCGCTGCCTTCGAGTGGGCCGCGCATGAGGGCTTAGACCTTGACATCAGTGTGCTCTGTCCTCGAGTGATCCGCCACTATTTAGTGCAGGCCGCCACGGCCTGGCAGTGGCGACAGGTGGCGAAGCGCGATGATTTGAAACATCTGGAGTTTGGTGCGGTTTGGTTGCCCCTGGTCCAGGCTGTCTCTAGCGGACGGCCTCGCTGTGCTCAAAATCGGGACCTCCCGACCCTGGGGCCCGAGGCGCGTGCGTACCTTCGTTCGTGCATTATTGGCGGGCAGTGGCCCATGGCCAGGAAGTTTGAAGCTAGGAAAGCCTTGAGCAATGAGTGCCTCATTTG